AATGTAACATTTTGGATTTTTCCTCACTTTCTGTTCTAAGAGAGTGATCTCCAGGACAAATCTTCCCAGCAGGGACAGAGAAAGCAATAAATTCCCGACAGAGGATCTAACTCTTCTACACTGCATTGAACGCTAAAAAAAGTTTTGTCTTTAGATATACTTTAAAGGGAACCTGTAAGGTCATAAACATTGTAGCTGCCATTGCTGACTTATTTTGGAAAGTACATGCTCCAGGGCTGTCAATTGTATTGCCTGCTTCTATAACCAGGAATAAACTTGCTGTCAATAACATGTTGGGATACCTGATATACACAATTATGTTCCAGGTCAGTTAAAATCTGGCCAGTGAAGGTGGGATTTAAATGACATACCTGTGAGGCTGCACCTTCAAATACAAGTCAGTAATGTCAGCTCCTTTATGGCTATCCTGCCAGGTTCATTTAAAAGGAAACCAATTCATTTACAATACATTATATTTCAGATATTATCTTCAATAACAGGAAGGTCATTTTCTGAGTCAATTTTGGCATTTACTTGCTATACTAAACCTTTAGTGCAAAAATCTGTGACTATGAAAAGCGTAACAACTAGGAGCTGACTGTCACATAAGATCTCACTAAATAAAGGGAAATCTAATTGGCTAATGCTTCTTAATGCTCTTGGAACATTGTTCTTTGAGATGCCTTGCTCAGTAGACCTGCTCATGAACTTCACAGGACAGTCATTCCTGAGGGCACACTCTGATTGCTCTCAGGGCACGCAATCCCCAGAGCGCTTTATTAACTGGTAAGCTATGCTCAGCCAAGCTTATGACTTATATGGAGGGGGTTGGAGTGGTTAACGGGAGCGAATGATGGCTTATCACAGTGGTATTTATAGGAGTTGTTGGTACCCAGATGGTGGGTGGCTGGTATAGCTCAGAGGCCACCCATAGAAATGAATCCACAGCCATTTCTGGACCATCATAATCTGTCTATGGGTACCTAAAGCCTGAGATATAAAGGTTTTTCCCTGTGACATTTCCATTGCAAGAAATTCTTAAGAGATGACTGAAAGTTTATAATGAAATAAGACTAGCAAGGCAAAATCATTAGACTGTGGTAGACAGCCACAGTGCATAAGGAGTCGACTGCCCATATGTACTATAACTTATTAAAAGGAGTTTTTATACACATTTCCAGTGCCTTTAAAAAGTATTCATATGCCTTGAAATTTTCAACAAACTTAAATGTATTTTATTGGGATTTTATGTGACAGACCAACACAAAATAGCACATAATTGTGAAGTGGAAGGAAAATGATAAATGGTTTTCATAATTTTTTACAAATAAATATGTGCAAAAGTGTGGCGTGCATTTGTATTTGCCTTCAGAAGTCACCTAATTAGTAAATAGAGTCCTGTGTGTAATTTAATCCCCATATAAATATGGCTGTTCTGTGAAGCCCTAAAAAGGGGTTTGTTAGAGAACATTAGTGAACAAACAGCATCATGAAGGCTAAGGAACACACCAGTCAGGTCAGGGATAAATTTGTGAAGAAGTCTAAAACAGGGTTAGGTTATAAAAAAAAATATCCCAAGCTTTGGAACGCTATAATTTTCACGTAAACCAACTAATTTACACATATTGGGATTTTTTTTTAGCAAGGACATGTAGTAGGATACATTTTGCCCTAAATTTATGACAAAATTTGATTTTGAAATTTTTTTATTGGACATGTTTAATAGCAAAAAGTCAAAAATATTGTTTTTTTTTTCTCAAAATTGTCAGTCTTTTTTTGTTTATAGCACAAAAAATAAAAACCGCAGAGGCGTTGAAATTTCACTGAAAGAAAGCTCTATTTGTGGGGATAAAAGGACCTAAATTTCATTTGGATGCAGCGTTGCATGACTGTGAAATTGTCAGTTAAAGTAACGTAACGCTGTAACAAAAAAAAAAAAATGGCCTGTCAGGAACGGGGGTAAAATCTCTGGAGGCCAAGTGATTAAGTTATGTGTAATAAAATGGAATGACACAGGGAAAAAGTATTGAACACGCTAACTTATTTATTTAACACTTCGTACACTTTGTTGGTAATGACAGCTTCAAGACGCCTCCTGTCTGGGGAAACTAGTCACATGCATTGCTCAGGTGTGATTTTGGCCCATTCTTCCACACAGTCTTCAAATCTTGAAGATTCCGTGGGCCTCTTCTATGAACTCTGATCTTTAGTTCTTTCCATAGATTTTCTATTGGATTCAAGTCAGGCGATTGGCTGGGCCATTCTAGCAGCTTTATTTTTTTTCTTTGAAGCCAACTGAAAGTTTCCTTGGCTTTGTGTTTGGGATCATTGTCTTGCTGAAATGTCCACCCTCGTTTCATCTTCATCATCCTGGTGGATGGCAGCAGATTTTTATCAAGAATGCTTTGGTACATTTTTCCATTCATCCTTCCTTTGATGACATGAAGTTTGCCAGTACCGTATGCTAAAAAAAAGCCCCACACCATGATGTTCCCACCTCCAAACGTCACTGTTGGTATGATGTTTTTTTTTGGGTGATGTGCAGTGCCACTTGACCTCCAAACATGTTGTGTATTATGGCATCCAAAGAGTTCAATTATGGTCTCATCTGACCAGACTATATTCTCCCAGTATTCACAGGCTTGTCTAAATGTTGTGCAGCAAACTTTAAAAGAGCTTCAACATGCTTCTTCTTCAGCAATGGAGTTTTGCATGGTGAACATGTGTACAGGCCATGGCAGATGAGTGTATTGCTTATTGTTTTGTTTGAAACAATTGTACCTGCCAATTCTAGTTCTTGCTGAACGTGGACAACTTGGACAACTCTTCTGATATTTCTTTTCACTCCTCTGTCAGTAATCTTGCGAGCAGCACCTGGTTGTAGCCGGTTTATGGTGAAATGATGTTCTTTCCACTTCCGGATTATGGCCCCAACAGTGCTCACGGGAAAATTTAGAAGTTTAGAAATCCTTCTGTAACCAATGCCATCAGTATATTTTGCAGCAATAAGGTTGCAAAGGTCTTGAGAGAGTGCTTTGCTTTTACCCATCATGAGATGTTTCTTGTGGGACACCTTGGTAATGAGACTTTTTCTAGGCCATCAGTTGAGACTGAACCAGCTAATATTAATTTGCACCGACAAGGGTCAGGATTGCTTTCTAATTACTGACAGATTTCAGCTGGTGTCTTGGCTTTTTTTTTATTACACATAACTTAATTTCTGCATTTATTTGTTTTGGTTTCTTTATATGCATGGATTGCATGGGTTGTTACCAACATGTGGTGCACGTTTTCGAAAAATGGTGACGTTTTCAATACTTATTTTACCCGCTGTGTGTGTGTGTATATATATATATATAAAATATAAATATATATAATATAGAATAGGTTTGTGAATTATGTGTAAATTGGCTGATGCAGCCCTGGAAGAAACAGAATTGTTTTTGCATGTAAATATTAAAAGTAATATGTCCCTCAGCTTTGCTTAATCAGTGATCAGGGAGAATGATTATATACAAACATTAAAGTAGATTTACACTTTTGCAGTCAGATGTGAGAAGCTCCCACTATATGTTGGTTGTGTGTTCCCCTTTACACACATATTTATTTGTTATAATTCATACCTTTCTAATAGTTTCAGGTTTATACATAGAACTCCGTAGGCAGCATGAAATTGTTCATAATAACTTGTAAAAGGCAATTAGGGGTCAAACTGTATTACTATACAATGCACTACCCAAGCCTAGAGATCTTTAACCCTTTGTTAGCACAGGCAGTGTACACATCTAGTTTACAACAGATGAGTTCTAGTTTATAAATGGCAAGGAGATCTGTCAGCACAGTAGAGATAGGTTTAATTATGGTAAACATAAAGCCCCAGCCCCCTTCTTAGCAATGCATAGAAGGTAAAAGCGAAGTAAAATTTGTAAGAAACTGTAAAGATAAGTAGCATTATTTACATTTTATTTAGGTTATACTATAAGAATCAGAACATGTAACAAATATAATGGTGTTATCCCAACTTGGCTGTAAAAGTGGAAATACACTTTAAAGCTGACTTCTCAGCAAACAGCTCAAAACACATTAAAATGAGGGAATAGTTTAACCTGCCAAATATATTTCTGTCCACCGAGTTGTGGAGATTTGCTCTGCCGCACAGCAAAACTTGTATGACATGGGTGGAGACTTGATGCTGCAGTTCAGTAACATTAATGCTAGGTACACATGGGTTGAAAATGGTTGGATCGGCAGGAACTGGCCAACTTTTGGCCCATGCATGTATACAGCTTCTTGTCCGACAGAAGCTGGTCTCAAAACCAGCATATGATTAGCACTCGCAGTGTTGATTACTGTGTTCCGGCAAGGGGGAGTGGAGAGGGGGGGCAGTCCCCCTGTCAGAACACAATAGCTCAGTGGGGAGATCGCGGCGCTAACATCAGATGTGTTAGTATGGAGACCCGTAAGTTTTTTTCCCGTTCAACCCGCTGGGTGAACGAAAAAAATAAACTTCCTGTGTGTACCAGGCTAAAGGCTTTGTCCACACTTGTATGTTACAAGAAAGCACATGAAAAAGCATGCTTTCCCACAACACACAAAACACGTTTCTCTTTTGCAGAAGCATGACGGTGCCAATAATTCTTAATGGTTCCCCATGCATCTTGTGAATGCCAAAAACATGGTAATGCAGTGCATACTGTGCTTTGGAAAGGTGTGTGGGGGGTGTAGTTAAGAATTAATTAATTTAAAAAAAAAAAAAGAGAAGAATTAATGACACTGGCGTGCATCTGCAAAGGGGATGTAAGTTGCAGAGACGTACACAATTTTTTGCACATTTTCACAATGTGAACCTAGTCTAAAATGTGTCCAAAATAACTTTAACTACCATTCGCAGGACAACACAAAGATGGCAATCTATTATTATTATTATACAGGATTTATATAGCACCAACGGTTTGCTCAGCGCTTTGCAATCTACTTATATTCTAAAAAGCATCACTTACTTATAATAGTGCTCCCACAGGTTCCTATACCTCCCCTGTCCTGACATGTCAAAAACTGTAAACGATAAGCTGGAAAAAGAAAAAGAAAAGAAAATTAATACAAAGCAAAACTGTTAATTTAAAAGTGTTTTAGCAAAGTTTTCCTTACTTTGTTTTCTACTCTCCTATGGAGTCCCTGGATCATAGCAAATGCTATAGAAAGGCCTTCAGTCGTTTCTGACCAGTAGGTAAGCACTTCTCTCAAATGAAAAAAAGCATACCCCTCTATAGTTTGTACTTGTCTCAATCCAAGGTACTTAGTGTGATTTCTGTCTGCTGTCTCCTTCTGTCCATTCCTTCCACTCAGGTCTCAGGTTACACCCAGCTCTCTGGTCTATGCAGTGCAGTGTGTGGCATCAGATCCCTGACCCTGCAATCTGAAATGCTGTGTAAACTGTACTGCAGATAAACAGGTACAACTTATGTAGGAGGATTAGTTTCATCTCTGTGTGTCACCTGAAACTAGTCACTTCACTGGGTATATGTAAGGGTTTACAACCACTGTAAATGTATTGGGCTTTCTGAATTTTTCATTGTAACCCTCTATCCTGAATAATGTTTTGTGTGTCACCTGGATTTGCATCTCAAGTTATTTTTCTCCCCTGTCCACTGCAACTAACTACAAGCAGTGATACAAGACTGCGATTCAAGTCTGAGTTGCATAATTAGCACTTGTAGCTTGTCAGCAGCAGTGAACTGGAGTTTTCTTGCCATTAAGCAAATTCCCTTTGGAGCTGATTATTTGATGCTATCAAACCTATCTAGTTATTAATATGCCAGAATAAATGTTCCAATGAAGTGGATTAATGCATTACAGTGACAAAGTTAAAGCGCATCACAGGGAGGCAATGAAGCAGCTTTAAACCTCTGATGGCTAAATTAGAATGAGAACTTCAAGGTATAGATGTCGGTGGGATTCATTATATTTTTATATCTTAATCACTAGTTTCCACACCGTTTTCTGATACCCTGCCCCGAATGAACAATATGCTTCATTAGGATGTAGCCTCTGGTAAACAACGCGATGAAAACAAAAGCACTTTCTGTAGGTTGTTCTGCAGCAAATGGTTTTTGACTTCAGATTTAAGTGTGTGTGTGTATATTAATAGCTTGTTAAAACAGCTGTGCTCCCATCTCTAGTTTATTGCTAAAATACTTAACAGGCTAACAAGAGATTTTACTGTGGGAGAAGACCCACTGAGAGCAAGCAATCTTGTAGAGATCTGGCTATAAATTAATATTTAACAACACATGAAATATCAATGTATCACCTGGGAGGCAATTCATTTTCTTGCATCATTTGAGGATACAGCTAGTTAATGAACGTCCTCTGCTGATACTATAAAATCCCACTGCAACACAATGCCTGGAAGAGGGAGTTCTGATACAAACTCTGAACCTTACACCTCACACACCCATCACTTCAATTGTCCTGGAATTTGTTTGAATATTGCAGTTGGAGCTCCAAAAAAATCAAAGTGAGGGAAGACTTTTTTTTTTATCCTTCTCCATATTTTTGTTTTGTGGGAGTCTGGAAACGAAATGATCAAGCATTCTGAAAACGTTGAATATCCAAGATCGCGCTTCCTTCAAACCTTAATAAAAATATATAAATATTAATGTAAATATGGCCAAAAAAGGCCTGGATTCTTTCTTGGATACACAGAATATAACTGGATACTAACATTTATAGGTAAAGTTGATCCAGGGAATAGCTGATTGCCTCTCGAAGGACCAGAAAGGAATTTTTTTTTTTCCCAGCAGGAGCAAATTGGATAATGCTTTGCTGGGGTTTTTTTTTTTTCCTTCCTCTGGATCAACTGTGGGATTATAACTTTTTTTTTGATGGTTGAACTGGATGGACTTTTGTCTTTTTTCAGCCAGACTAACTATGTAATTATGGAGCTGCTCGTTCGTAAGCTTAAAAAAGCCTCAAAACATACAAACAATATATACCGCGCTCCTTAAATACTGTAAATCATTATAGTGATAAATAAGTGCAAATTATTGCCTATATAAACCATGTGCAAAACAAAAAGCAATGTGAAAGCTTCCATATAATTATAAACAAAAAGTCAATTTTTTCTATTATTATTATACAGGATTTATATAGCGCCAACAGTTTGCTCAGCGCTTTACAATATATATATATATATATATAAAGCTTCATATCCGACTTCTATGTTCCCACTATGCAAAAATAAAGACACCCAAGAAATAAGTGCTCTTCCTCTCTTCCCAAGAAAGATAAAACACCGCACTCACCAGAGATATATGACTTTTTGTTCATAATTATATGCAAGCTTTCACATTGTTATTTGTTTTGCACATGATTTATATAGTCAATAATTTGCACTTAGTTATCACTATAATGATTTACAGTATTTAATCTATGCATATATTGTTTGTATATTCAGTAAACTTTTCATTCTTTTTACTTGGGTCTTAGTGTGTATGGTATAATTGAACAATCTAAAAAAAAAATTTTGCTTTTGATGCATACAATAAAAAAGGTGGAATGAATTTAGACCACATTGATTCCTATGAGACAGCACAGATTGGGGTACAGCTCACATTAAATAAAATTGCACTTTTTTGCAGGCAAAAAAAGACATAGTGTGCATTTACTATTTTTTCTCTTAGGAGCCTGTAAAGTATTGCACCCGCAATCAGCAAATAATTGGGGCAATGTCAGACTTCTGCAGATTGTCAGTGCAGCTGTCTGCCTGAATGTCCGATGCGGGCAGGCAGCTACTTCAGTCCAGGAAGCTCAATGGACTACAAGAGCACTCACCAGTGCCTTCACAGTTCATTGCAAACTACAAACTGTGGGCTACAAAGGCTGTTGCAAAACTCTGTAAATGAATGATGTGGTTGTGTGGGCGGAGCCCCGCATAGATCCACACTTTTCAAATTGTTACAGTGGGTGTGGGGAGAAGATCCTTGGCCCGCTGTCACAGGGAGGATGGGGGGGAGGGAGAGGGAGAGCTGCAGGAACAAGTGGGACATGGTGAACCTATCCTTTAAGGTTGTCTTCACTTCAACCATAAGCATTTCAAAATCTCTTATTTCACATTTCCTTCACATATGATTGGGCAGCCAAAGAGAGCAGAGATTCTCTCATTCACTAAAATTATTAACCAACATAAACATTAAAAAGTGATCATTTACTTTGCCAAGTGCTTTAGTGTGTATGAACCCAAAATGTGGTTTGGGGACTGTTGGGCTGATTTACTAAAAGTGGAGAGTGCAAAATCTGGTACAGCAGTGCATGGTAGCCAATCAGCTTCTAACTTCAGCTTGTTCAATTAAAGTGTTACTAAACCAACAACAGTAAAATCAGTCTGTATATGCAGCAAAGCATGCTTGTTATACTCACTGTGGAACCTAAGAGGTTAATCCTCTGCATTGTGTAAAAACGCTGTTTGATCATGACTTATCTAATCCTCCCCTTCTTTCAGTGTCCCCCTCTTATCTCCTGTTAAGACATATCGTGTGGAGTCACTCTGCACATGCTCAGTCTGGTGTGCATTACTAAAGGTTTTTTTTTTTCTTGGAAGAGTGCATGTGATCAGCACAGGGCCAATCAGCACTGTCCAGACAAGGGTCAGGGGGTCTGCATCCTCCTAGAGCAAAATGAACACTCCTCCTACAAACTTTAACCAGTGCTCGGCTTGACACTGATAGAAGTCGCAAGACTGCTCTAACTGCTGATGAGAAAAAGGTATTTAGTATTTACTAAAATAATTCCACTTCCATGTTTTGTGCACTGTGGGAGACCAGATATAGTAAATGCAGGGTCCTGGGTTTAGTAACATTTTAAACTTTGACAAAAAAACTTGGAAGCTGATTGGTTTCTATGCAGAGCTGAACCAGATTTTGGGCTCTCCAGTTTTAGTAAATCAACCCCAGTGAGTTGTTAACAGTTTAAATACAGTCAACTTTATTTATGAAAGGAAAATGCTCATTTTACCCCTCCTTTTTCAATAACTGCCCTTTTATGCTTTTCAAATTGGGTTACTTTAAGATTGTGGTCTTTTGCAATGATCCTATTTCCCTTTCTCTAGTAATAGGCTCAGTTCACAAAATCTAATATACTAGGACACGGATCCTTATTTTCAAAAAAGTGACAATTATTTTCAGTGGAGTCCAATGAGTTTTCAACATTACAGTCACTTGGCTACTAATAATCTTTTTATTCCTAGCATTAAAGTTTTGTGAATTGAGTCTTAAGTGTATTCTTAATATTACATAAAACAGTAATTGACAAGTGTATGCATGCTCATTGACATTTACAATGAAACAACAGTATTTCTTGTATTAGTTTTAGATCAGCCTTTCTCATCCAGGCTTACTGCAGAGGTTTCTAGGGGTTCCTTGGCCAACAGACAACTTCTGCCTCTCAGGTTAGTATCCACATATCTTTTTTAGCCATCTGTATGATGGGCACTTTCCCAAATGACCACTAATGTATGGAGCATTCTTCCTACTGACTATCATCCTAATGAACCATAAGCTGTAGGTAAAAGTTGTTATTAGCAAGGGTTCCACAAGACCAGAATGTTTTTTCAAAGGTTCCTCTGTGTTAAAAAGATTGAGAAAGGCTGTTCTAGGTTGTGGAGAAAGTAGGTCCGGGCACAATATCTCTCAGGTTTACAGAGGTCTTTGTCCCTAGTTGGAAGATTTCTCACTTCCTTAGCTGACATCAGTAAGCTAGTGAATGGAATCTCCACGAAGGGGACATGGACAGCAATAACAAAACTACCAAGGTCTTAACTCTTCCCTGGGCTAAAAAAATAATATTGTCATGCGTGTCTTCATTGGAGAGTTTAACCCCTTGGTGCTGGCGCCTCCCGGCCCTTTAAGGCTTTCAGAAGCCAGGAGGCGGGCAGGGTTTTTAGGGTCATGTGACCACCGTGATTCACTGTCATGGCGGTCACATGATCTCGTGTGATCAGGACCTTTCCGAGAGTACCAGAAATGTTTGCTGGGAGCGTGCAGGGCGAGCGCTCTCAGCACGTTTTTTTTAAATTGCAAGCAAATGTGCGGCTGCTCGGCGTCAAGGTCCAGATGCCGAGAGGCCGCACATTTGCGTGCGCTTGGCATAAAGAGGTTAAGGCAGTTGAGGGCCAGTTTATATATAGTGCGGTGACCAGTGTTGTTCCACACTGGAATAATGGCAGTCAGCTCCAGGACACACAGACAGAAATCAATTGTTTTTTATGTGTCCTATTCACACTGCAATGCAATGGGCTGCGATAACATGCAGATATGTTGCATTTTACTCGAGTATACAAGATGGGATCTCATGTCATTGTACAACAGGGTACCGCTTTAACATGAAGTGTGGAGGGTAAAATCTATCAAAGATAAATTAAAAAAAGACAAGCCCAGTGGGAAATCACTGGTCAATTATTACATAGACCTGTTTTATCAGTAGCAGATTTTGTTGCACTACTATTCAAATGATCACTGACAACGGTACCTGGATGTCTTGAATTTCTCTATGCTGAACCCAATGGTTGGAACTATATCCTGTGTCTGGGCCTGGCAGATAAAAGAAAAAAAAAGACAGATCAGTGTGAGATTTGTACATCCACTGTAAGAAAACATGGAATAAAAATACATCCTCACAGACAAAGTAATAAGTATATGTGTCATAAAGAGCACGCTGGCAAGAATTGTTGCCTCCAAAACCTGTGGCAGTAATAATAAAGGTGGCAGGCTTCCCGGTCAGCTTTTTTTTTTTTTCTTATTTTTACACATCTCCTTTGAAATTTATACCAGGCTTGGAGAACCTGGTGGGAATTATGAGGGGAACCCCATGCCATTTTTCTTTAACTGTCCGGGCTGCTTTGTTTGCATGGCCAGGCATTCCTGGCCAGTAAATGGATGGGGCCAGAGAATGTTACTGGTTGCAAAGGTACTGGCTCCTGCCGCATCCTTAACAACCTTTACAGTGGAAGAAGGAAGCTGTCAGTTATACTAGCAGGAGAAAAAAAACCCACTACTATATATGAAGTTCAGCTCCTGCTAAATAGGCTGAAAGTCCCGCGACCGGACAAATGCCCGAACAAGCAAAGTTTGGTCTGAGTCTGTGTTTGGACTGAACAAGAAGCTCACCCTACTGCAGATTAAGCATTAACAGCTCCACGTGGGTCAGAAGGAGAGCAGTAGGAGTGTAATTACTGAAGTATGTACTGTGCGCCTTCCAATATTTGTTCCCTCCATCAGTAATCGCATCCAAACCATCAAGGCGGCATTGAGACATACCGATGGCTGTAAGAAGCTTCCTAGTGGCATTTTTAGTGGTATCTTGGACGAAGCATTTAGGGGCAGAGCCTAATGTTGCTACTCAGAAGGAGTTTGCATTGATCCTGGAGAAGCCAAGCTGCTGGTTGTCAGTGGTCTTCACATGCTTTATTAGAGTACCGATCCGGACACAGGGTATTAATGAGGCTTCTGTAAAAGTTTTGCTGGTCCACTTTTCATGAACATCAGTATATCTATGTTTGGGCCAATAAATTGACTCAGTGACTCAGTGACTTCACACTACATGAGTTTCCTTTTCTGGTTGATCCATCCATCCGATGAGTGAGAGCCTGCTGAGTACATTGATAGTGGAAGACTGTTGGTTCAAACATCCACCTACTGAGTGGTGGAGGGATCATCACAGGGAGTCACCATTGATTTATGTTTCACTGAGTGTCACTTTGGATTCGACATTCACTGCTTTGAGTTGGATTGAAGTTGTTTGGGACATTTAACAAGTTTTGTCTGAGGACTGGAATTTACTAACCAATTAACACAATGTTTATGTTTGGTAACATTGTATTGTAGTGTGGATATCTGTTTATATCACACGCCACGCTACTGATTTATTTTGTAGAAGTGCTGTACAAGTGAGGGATTGTCATTTTCACCGTCTTCACTTGCTGTTATAACATTTTCACAGCAGGCTTTCTCGATGTGAGAGTCAGCAAGGCAAGTACTCCAGCAACACCAGCAGATGTGTTCCAGAATCACCAGATGACAGACATAAATGAATATTGTGGACTGTGATGCAGCAGAGTCTGAAAAAAACTGAACTGCTCAGTAGGTAGGCCACATTGCCTGTAAGTCTAAAATGTGACTTTTTAAGTCTGATTGCAATGTATCTTTAAACCCTTTGCGCCAATGCCTCCTGGCCCTTTAAGGGGTTTTAGATGTGGGGTGGGATTTGTGATCGTGACCTCTGTGATTGGCTGTCACAGTGGTCACATGATCGGAAAGCTCCCGATCCCAAGTAGAAATCAGGAGCTTTCCGTTAGCTGCCAGTAACTGTGCCGGGAGAGTGCATGATGCATGTTCTTGCCACAGTTTTTTTTGGGTACGCATATATCCAGCCTCTCTGTGTTAAGGCTCACCCGCCGAGAGGCCGAATATATGCGTGTGGCCAATATCAAGGAGTTAAAAACCATGAAGGATTGTTTGAAAAATCATTTTCAATTAGCGGATTCTAGTAAATAAATGTACATAGCTTTGCTGTGTTTGAATTAGGGCAACATTAAACATAGATGTGAAATGCCCATCTCTAGGAGACATCAATACACAAACAAAATATGAAAATACTTTGCGATGTGACACCTATTGCAGTTTACAAAACAAAATCGTTGAAAGTTTGCCTCTTCGTTGTTAAAACTTAATTGTTTCCCTTCACATCAATTAGATGTACTGCTGGGAAACCAGGACATTTAAATGTTGAAACAAGTACATTTATATCCCAGTTCTTGTCCCAGGGGAGGATACAATCAAGCAATGTCTGTATCTCGTCACAGGCGGTAGGAAGAGGTTACTTGTGAGAAGCGGATAGGAAGCTAGAGGAACGTTTCTGTCATGTCACTGGTCCCAGGAGGTTTCAGCATCCCTAACGCACTGTCATGGCTGCGGCATAAACAAGGCATTGAGAAGCCAGGGATGACATTAACACAGCTAAATCCTCTAAACTTTTATGCACTGATAACTGTAAGTGGATTTTAGTACACTGAGCCCAGACAGCTCTACGGCTTCATGACTTTAATGTTTTACGGAAAGTTTTCTCAACATTCTTCCTTAACCACCAACAGGTTGAGTTTAATGCTCTTTTATAGACTGTACAGTAAATGATTAAAGAGAACAAGTCATAACTGAGCTTATTCAAAAGTCAGATTAATTAGACATCATATGAAGCTAGAAGGGCTTTGGACCATTTTATTTTATGTTTTATAAAGCGGAAATTCACCCAAAAGGGGAAGTTCCACTTTTCTGCCTCCTCCAATCTCCTCTAACAATTCTGGACATACTTTTTACTGAGCGAGGGGGGGATGTGGATACCTGGTTTTGACAGTTACCTGCTCCCACTTCCACTTGGATCGCCTAAATTGCCCTCTCAGCAGCTTTCTGGGCTGTCGCAGGTCACAGAAAGCTGTGTGACCATTCACAAACGCAGTGCGGCCCGTGTGTGCACAGCAGGAAGGCAGCTCTGAAGCTGCTAGGACTCACAGCTGGCTTCCATTAATAGACACGCCAGTGCTGGGGACCCGAACACCAGTGAAGAACCGGTTTGGGTGAGACCAGCACTGGATCTCTGGACAGGTAAGTGCCTTTATATTATACACCGAAGATAAAAAGACACTGATGATCCTCTTTAGGCCTCATGCACACAGGGCCTTTTTGCAGCCACTTTTAGGGGGGTCAGGTATTTCTTGTTTTTATTTACTGCTTCAGAATGCCCCTCCATGTTATCCTATGTGTCCATGCACATAAAGAGTTTTAGAAGCTTTTAGTGGAAGGAGCAATTGCAGACAGGAAGAAAAACCCCCAGGGCCAGTGCATCCAGGAGCAGCAGAGTTTTGGCAGAAAAAACACTGAAAATTCATTTCAGTGGCCAGAATAAATTATTATTCTGGCCAATTAAATTAACACCCAAGAGACTGATGCCTGTAAATGCGCCTAAACTCTTGTTAGATACTTTTAGGATTCTTTCACATGGGCAGTTGTTCTGCCTCTTGTAAATGCATGTTTTGTTATTTTGAAATTCCAACACTCCTGGTACAGAGAACACTCATAATTGTACACAAATATCTGTTATGACGCGTTTACATGTGTTTGCATGCAGCTGTGTTTAGCTGCGGTAGTAAATTCTTGCATTTTCAATAGCAACTGTTTACTTATTTTTTCATTGTACTGCGATTAATTGCATCTATGTACAGATAGCTGCGGTACATCGCTCCTGGACACTGTCAACTTTATTTTTCCTAAACGCTAAAACCGTATGTTATGAAAACTTTGCTAAACAGTGTGTGAATGGAGCCATATGGATGGAAGCATTGTCTGCATTTATTTGCGGTAAATAAGTTCCTCTAACTCAGGGGTGTCAAATTGGTGTCCCTCCAGCTCATCATGTCTCTGCCTTTGGGAGTCATGCTTGTAACTGTCTTGCAATGCCTCATGGGACTTGTAGTTTGGCAACAGCTGGAGGGCCGCCAGTTTGACATCTGTGCTCTAACCACAGCTAAAAGCTGAAATCTACCTGCTCGTGTGAAAGGGACCTTACAAGTGTCAGGTGTTTTTTTCTGCCAAAACACTGCTGCCAAGAGGAGGAGAGTTCTTAAAATGTCCTGTGTGCATGAGACCTAAAGTTTAAAAGTTTTTATATCTGTTTACTATTTATACATTTGGAAATAAGCATTCACAATGTTGCATTTATATTGATTCAAGGGACAGTCTATTCCTGCTAAGGGGGTCTAAAATTGTGTGCATGAGACCTAAAGTTTAAAAGTTTTTATATCTGTTTACTATTTATACATTTGGAAATAAGCATTCACAATGTTGCATTTATATTGATTCAAGGGACAGTCTATTCCTGCTAAGGGGGTCTAAAATTCATCCCACTATTCACTGCATGAGTTTGGCAGTTCTACCATCTAAAAACACCCATATTTATGTAAAACATTTATCCCAAAAGGAAAAAAATATTTGTTGTAACTGCCTATAAATGATTAGCTGGAGTTTGGCTTCAATTTGTTAGTGTATTTATATCTGCTAGTCCATCAAACGCTCCCCTCCTCCCTGACTGATAATGCTGCTGTCCAAAGGTTCCCCTTGTGTTCCTTCATCCTGAGTGGGGGCACTCTAATACAGGAGCTGTGTTACTGGCCAGATCACCAGTTGAAAACAGGGGGGAAAAGCCTTAAAAAAACTAATGTAGCCACCACATCCAAGGATTGGTAAGCTGCAATATATAAGAATTTTGGTTTGGGGTTTAATACCACTTTAACCTACATTGTGTTAAGGCAGACTATTCATTTTGAATGAGCTACCAAATTACAGAACAGAAAAAGGAAATCCAGTATTTTTTTTCAACACAGCGCTCCCCATTGCATGGTAGTGTTTCTGTGCATCGTGGTGTACTGCAGTGTATGTGCATCAGAGTTGTGTTGCCTTAATGAGTTGGGTTGCCATTCAAAATGAATGACTTTGCAACACGCTAACACAAATAACCTGTCTGTTACTGCAAAGACTACAAT